TAGTGCTTCTCTGCTCCTGGCTATATTTTAAACTATGAATGTTTTCCCAAAGACATACTCCAGTCCAAATTCAGGGAAGCCAATCTGCCTTATGCCCATCTTAAACATGAGATGTACTACAAGAAGATCACCAGAGCTTTCCCTCTTTCAGGGCAGTTGCTACTCTTTATCCAATTTAATTACCACACAACCTAACACCCAAAACTTAATGATATGTAACATTAAAGGTATGAACTGCAAGAAAAAAACCTGGACAGATTTCTGGGGCAAACTATGTATAAAATAGAAAATAAAGCTAATACAGTATGAAAAAATTGATTTTTTTTTCTAAAGTGGTATATTTTGATAAAGTAATTGTACTTTTATAATAAAAACAACAAAAGACTGATTTTTTTTAATTACATAGGTATATGTAATTCATTTTAAGTGATCAGAAGTACAAACATGCAGGAATCACTCCAGGACTGGCAGCCAGCCAGACCTGCCACAGCATCAGTGTAAAACTTATTTCATTGCAAAACTTACGTACAAAGCCTCATCCAGAGTTTCAGAATGCTTGTCCTATACTGACTAAATTCTCCCAAAAGTGATAAGAATTATGGAGAGATTTTCTCTGATATGCAGATATAATTTTTTTCCTCTTATAGGAGACGAGTTTCTACAGTAAAATACAAAAGCAGAATAGAAAGGTGAGTTGCCACTATACATTTCCAACTGTAACTTTTAGAGGAAGGAGGTTACTGAGAATAATTACAGTTTCTTTTTGTTGCTTGTGCCTTTTTTAGATTAAGTTTGTCATTTGATAGGAAATCCAACCACAGTCATCAAATTCATAATACAATGACTGATCAGTCCCTCTGGGGCGGGATGGGCGATTCAGCAGCCAGCTCCCAACTGAGTCAGAAGCAGTCTGGGTTCAAGCTCTACCACATTCTCTCTCAAAATGTTGAATAAATGCAGGAAATTAATACTAAAATTTGACAAGCCTGTCACCTGTCTCCTCCACTATGTGACACAAGGGATTTGAGAGATTACAAATCCTCCACAGTCTTTTAACCAGCCCCCACAACGAGGACAATTACAAGGATACTTTGGAAACACTCTGCAGACGTGCTTGGGTAAGCACTCATCCTGTAAGCACGCATCAGGTGCCTTGGAATGGCTTTATTTTTATCTTGCTTTCTGACAGGTAGCACAGGTAGTTTGATTGCTAATGCACTGTCTGCAGTCTCCATGCTTCCTGGTTCTGCTATCAGCTGCAGGCAGGAAAAACTGCTTGGGGAGAAAGTGGTTATCTTTTTACTCACACAGACTGAGTTCGTTGTTATGGGAACATCATTCATGCTACTCATCCAGAGTAACTTGGTTTTCCTGTAACTAAGGGCTTTCTTCCAGCCTGAATCTATCCACACAGGACCTGCAGAGTTTACTCAACACCTGCATTTAACCTGGTGCTTTAAACTCTGAGTTAGGGCAGAAGATCATTAAGATTCTGAATGTTCAAGGAGAGAAAAGTAGAAATGCAATGCACATAAAATTTGCAAGTCAGGCCTCTCCTCTGACCTTTGGTCATTCTCTCCCATCAATCTGTCTTCCATTAATTTGTCCAGTTGCTCTTCAAACTCAGGTAGACTTCCAAGGTTCACAGCCCTCATTCTCACCTTCTGAATAATCTGCATCATCAGAGAGTGTGCAGGTTTGTTAGGGAACTTTCTCCTGCTGGGTTTTAGGCAGAAAGGAACAGATCCTTCAATCGTCACTGTCACTGAAGGTTTTGTCCTCCCCTATGGACCTGACCACATATTTCACATCTCTGCTTATCAGCAAACTGCTGAACCATGTGAAGGCCACTATCAAAATACAGCTGCAAAGTTCCTTCAACAGATTTTGGTGAGGATTGTTATCAAAAACCACTGGAAAATCTAAGTCACACAAAACCAGATCATCTCCCTACAGGCTGCTAAGCCCCTTGCAGAGCTTCTACAGACTTGCAATGCCCAACTTCCTTCATATATCAAGCATGTCTCTCCTATCAATGCACCCACCAGCATCATTATTTAGAACAAGCTTTTTTGGTTATTTGATTAAGACATGTTCTCACAGCAGCACACACCAACCTCACCCACTGTGAGCATACCACAAAAAGCTGATTCTGTTCTATGAATAGGAGAACAGCCCATGAGAGAAATTATTTGCCCAGGTCAGATATCAAGATCAGAACAATCATACACCTTAGCTAAGTTTCCCAATTTAACTATAGCATATATTATCTTCCATTTATTCCATCAGTTTTCCCAGGTGTGTAAAGCAACATAAAAGTACTGGTATTCAACAGAAGGAGAAGCTTTGAAACAGAACCAGAGCAAGCCTGTCCTAGCAGGATAATGATTGTCCAATCTTCAATTCTGCGCTTTCAAATTCAAAGGAAACTAAGCATGTAATTCCAGCTTTATTCCTCAGTCAACTTTTTAAGCTACGAAGAGATTCCAGAAATCAGTTTCATCTCCAAGATTTCAATTAAAAATTAAATTAAAAATATGCCCAAACATTATTTTTTAGGAAGTTTTAACAAAACAAGAGAAAAAGAATGATTTTTCAGCAGGCTGCATTGAACACAGTGTCAATAGCTCACCTAACCCTTACTCAGGATGCTTAGGAAAAAAAAGCACACCAAGTTACAAAGCCAGCTGTCCTTCCTTCCTCATCCTAGCCATTACTCGAAGCAGTTCAAAAAGTATAGAAGGAGACACAAGAGATAATCAGAGCAGTGATGTCAGCAGTACCTGAATAACCTATTGTGGGACACCTCTCCTATTGATCTGCTAATGGCCTCTTCAAACAGGCCTCACACTCCAGGAACAGGAGCCAGGGTAAGAGGGTCCCAGTCAGAAAGCAATTACATTAGCTGGACTTGAGATCACTTGTTTCTCCAAGAAAATGGAGCTGCTTCTCAGGTCAGCATGCATCTTGGCTTTTGTTCCTCTTTCAATACAGCTTTGTCCTCTGTGCCCAGGTTTTGGGGTCAGACTTTTCAAAAAGCAGGACTCTGCACTGAGACTCAGGGCACTGCCGCTGCCTGCCATGGAACAGCTTGAAAACAGCTCCCTCCTTCCCCACTGGAACTTTTCTGAGTCACAGAGCTCAAGCTGTCAGCTCCGGGCACTGTAGTTCACAGGCTTCTTTCAACGTTTCCTCTTCTGCTTCAGATCCTCAACTTTCAGATTACAGAGAAGAAAAGCAGTCATTACCATGAAACCTCTGCTCCTGCATGCATCCAAGACAGATGCTTTCGGCAACACACTCGAGTATTCTGCCCACTCCTACTCCAAAGAAACCAGGACTTGGAGCTCCTGCCATTCCCATTAGTCTGACAAACTTACCAATAGCCTCATGTCTGACATCTTCCCACTTCTTCCAGTGAAACACAAAAAAAAAGAAAAGCCATTGTCTGTGAACATCAAAAACTCGGAAGCATTTAAAAACCTAGAAGATAGCTTTAAGAGTGCTGGCAAGATTGTGGGAAACACAGCAGACACCTTTAAACCTCTGGCTCACTTTGTTTTCTCCTAGAATTTATTCACAAAGTGAGCAGCCTCTTTACTGCATCTCCTGCCAATACCTGCCTACAGTCAAGCACTGTGCAATTTAGGGGCATAGGCTTAATTACACTGGTAAATTAAAGCATTCGTTTTGCCTGGCTCTAGAGGTACAGCAAGCATCCAGGCAACAGATACAGGCTGCTGGCTGACACATATTTGCTTTCCAAGCAGTAAAGCATCAACAGCTTTCCAAAACAACCACTCATGTCACACACAGTATCCATAACAGACTCCTAAAGTGTGTAATTTGTGATGGCATAGCAAGTAAAATGCCTCAGGCTTGTGCATTGACACTTCCAAAATAGAGTTTAATGCTTTCTCTGTGGCACATGGCTACCTCTGCACGTACAACCAACAAGTTTCCGTGGCCTAGTTGTAATTCACAGTATTTCTCAAAACCAGTCCGTTCTGGCACAAGGACCAGTGGACATCAAAATAGATTACCCCAGGGAACCATCAAAACACTCAATTCACTCTCTCCAGATTGCTTATGGCTGCACTGAGTTTGATCAGACCCCCTTCAAATGTTAATTATTTTGGAGGAAGGGCCCTAGACCACTCATTCTTCAAACAGAAGCCAGGCCGTGCCTTTGGATATTCACACTGCCTTCCTACACATGCTTTTCAGCCCTGTATTTTTATCCAGAGAATATAGACCTGCACTCAATAGTCAAGGGCATGATATGGCAAGGACATAACAATAGCAACATGCATTCCTAATGTCAACTGGGTTTCGATCAGAAGTGTGAAGATGTTATTTAGAAGTGTTTAACTTCAAATTGTTTCTTGTGAAGATCAAGAATCACCTTCAAGCCCCACTATCATTTACAGAATGCCTAAAAATTATCCCCCAAGACTCTTCTTTCCATCCTTTTCTATGAAAACTATCCTTCAATCCTCCATTTTCTCACGTACCAAGCTCAGGAAGCAATGCAGATCAATATCTGAAATAATCCCATTGCCAGATGGAAGAAGCAAGTGCCCCTTGCCTGCCATAACCCTGTCTTTCAGCAAAGCTAGTTTCCATACTATACTTGGATTTGTGTCAGAAATCAGACTAGTGATACATGTGCCATATTTCAAACACCCTGGGCACAAGTTTCAACTGCAAAGCCTCTAACAGCAGCTTACCACAGCCAAGGTCCCCCCAGCTAGAAACCCACAAACATCCCAGTTGTGTTCTACAGCAAGCTTCCTCTTTCTGTGCACACACTTTCTTTAAAGGAGCTCACTATGCTGCACTGGGAACAGACAGAAAATGGGAAAGGACTTTAAAAGCCAGAATCACAGATTTTTTTTTACCCCTGGTAATGTTACCACACACATGACAGCCAGCTTTTGGTCATCACAAAGACACACCTAGGGAGAGCTTCTTGTTTGCCTTCCCCTCAGCACACTCACCTCGCCCGAGTAGCTGTACTTTCCCTTCAGGATCTGCCGGTACAGGCGCGTGCGGTTGTCATCCTCAAAGGGCATCGTGCCGCTGAGAAGAATGTACGAGATCACCCCCAGCGCCCACATGTCCACGGAGTTCGTGTAGGGCTTCCTGACCAGGATCTCGGGAGCGATGTACTCCGGGGTCCCACACGTGGTTTTCATCAGGCAGTCGTCTCCCTTCTTCCGCGCGCTCGCCAGCCCGAAGTCCGTGATCATGATCTTGGAATCCGTTCCCGGGTGGTAGTAGAGAAGGTTCTCCGGCTTCAAGTCCCGGTGGGTGATCCCCAGCGTGTGCAGGTACCTCACCCCGTCCAGCACCATCTGCAGCACCCGCGTGGCGTCCCTCTCGGTGAAGGAGCCTTTGGCGATGATGCGGTCGAAGAGCTCCCCGCCGGTGGCCAGCTCCATGACCATGTACACGCGGTCCTGGGTCTCGAACACCTCGATCAGCTGGATGATGTTGGTGTGGCGGACGCGCCGCAGGACGCTCAGCTCCGACTCGCACACCTCCCGCCCCTCCCGGTACTTGGTCTCGATCATCTTGATGGCGTAGGGCTGCTTGGTGGCCTTGTGCTCCACCCGCACCACGCGGCTGAAGCTGCCCCTCCCGATCAGCGCTTTAATGTCGTACTTGGCCGTCACTCGGGGGTCGAACTTGGCGCGGTATTTGGCCACTTTGTTCTTGCGGGGCTCGGGCTGGTGTGCGGGCAGGGGGTTCCCGGGATAGGGGTTGGTGTGATGCGGAGGGGAGGGAGAGCCAGCTTTGATGACAGCCCCGCAGTCATCTTTGATGAAATGCTTGTAGATGTCACTGTGGCCTGTGTAAGGTTCGACTTTTTTAACCAGGTCTAGCTGCACATCTTTGGGGGGCTCGGGAAGTACTTTGCTTGTCCCACAGCCCATCACTAACTGGTGTTAATTCCCTATCAAGGCATGTTCCCAGGGGAGCATCAGCAGCAGCCACAGCCGGGGCAACTCCCACATTTGAATCTTAGAAAAAGAATGAAGAGAAAAAAATAGAGAGGAATCAAGGTAGCAAAGATTCAAATGGAGGGAAAAATCAAAACAATAGGTCCATGCTATCACAAATTGAGAATACGGGATTTTCACTTCTCTCTACTACAGAACATGCACAGTGCTCTGCTGCTTTCATCACAAGTGAATTAAGGCAGTGCCTACAAACACCTAATCATGGTCAGAACAGATGTGTCCATGGAAATCACACAGTATCTGTCTTTATTAAGGATCGTTTGTTTTCTCCTCCCTGCTGAGCACTGAATCAGTCACAGAGCAGCTGAGGCTGCATAAGACTTCTAGAGGTCTTTATGTCTAGACACAATCACTTAATAAAAATCAAATAAAGGAAAAAGTCAAGCATTTTCTTTCATTTTGTTAGATCTGCTCAACTTCCTCAGTCAGCAGCCAATCCAAACCTTATAGTTCTGAGTTTGCTCACCAGAAGGTCCACAGAGTACCTCAGTAACTTCTTCACTTAACACATCTTTCCAAGATTTTCTTTATATTGAATTTTTACACTGCCTTAAACTTCTCACTACTTAGCTGCTGGGGATCAATGGAATAGCAGAAGAGGCAGGAAATATTGAGCTAGAGGGACACTGGTTTTAAGGTGCATTTTGCCACTGAACTTGCTGCAGCCCCTGCTAAAAGGGAGATGTTCGCTTACCCAGAGCAGCTTTCAGTCAGCAAGTCTCTCATCTTCCAAACCCTGACAAATCAAGGTGGGCTCTTACATCTTTCAACGATCTCAATTTAGTTTTATTTTACACCTTTAGACACCAAGTGGCACTTCTGGCTTTCCATTTGGAGCTGTCTGTAAGAAGTGGAATTCCTACCAGCTGTTCCAGACTAGGTGCTCTTGCTCATCACACTGTATCCCAACAAAACCAAACCAGCTCCACTTGGGGAACTCTTTATGTGCTGATTAAAACAACAGGACTGGTCAGGAGATGGGGGAGCCACCTGTGGCTCGGGAAGTCACTGGGCAGCTTCACATTTGCCCTCTTTGACTCAGAGCCCATCAACATGTGCCTGAGCCTCCACAGAAGGCTACAGAAAAACCATTAGCCTTGAAAACTTGCTTTTAGGTCTTACCATCACCAGGTGTATCTCCACTCACGCACCACCTCTCCAAGCAACTGCTCAGCATGAACAACAGAAAAGGAACCCCAGCCGGTCTTCCATCAGGAGAAGCAAGTGGAGAAATAAGAAATGTTTTAAAGGGACACCTGGAAGAAGTTCTGACTCTTCATCCAACCTGGAAAGAAAACCAGGCTTTAGTTAAGATTCAGTTTTATAATCGAATATCATCAAAGTAACTTCTCAAGCGAGAAGTTCCCTCCTGGCAGCACCTTCCTGAAATCAAACAACCCAGCCATGCACAGACATGCTGTAGTAGGGTGCAGGCAGTAGAAATAAAAAACAACTTCACAGAAAGGTTAGCTGACTTCCACCAAGCACTGCCCTGGAGGTGGATCTTCATTCAAATTAAAGCACCATGATAAAAAATTAAGAGGTCTAGTTAGTCCTGAATAATGCCTCCCATGGACAGTTTTCCCAGCATTACTGAACCTTAAAGCATATTGAATTAACAGAGAAATGGAATGAGAGCATCCACAAATAAGATTATTACAGAGTAATTAAACATGTAGAGAAGGACTTGTGTAAAACATCCCACCCATAAATAAAACCAAACGGAAGGATCAAACACTTGAAAGTATCATCTATAAATCCACTAATGGCATTAACTGAGATCTGGCAGCAACTCCAGCATGTCAGTGGCTCCTCCTTGTACACTTCAGTGTTCCAGTGAAGGCTACAGAACCCCAGAGCTGCACACCAGAGTCAGCAACAAAATGCTTAACTCCACATCAGTGCAGGACATGCTCCTGTGCAGTAATCACCAAGAACGTGGGGCAAGGAATTAAGATAAATTCCAAGCGTTACAAGCTCTCCGAGTGGGAATCACATACTTGGCAGGCGGCACACTATCTGCGTGACAAACTATCTGAGCTACAGCTGGAAGTGGTGGGAAGGAACACGGGATTTATGCTTCTCCCCGTGGAGGTTCAGCTCCTCGCCTGCCGTCTCACTAAAACATCTCAAATGTGCCTCTCACTGCCTGACACAAACCTGACATAACCCGGCATTCCCATTGGGAGCTTCTGGTGAATTTCGGAGAGGAATCCCGGTGCTGGGGCTGCTGCAGCACCGCAGCAGCTGTGCCGGAGCCAAGGGCTGATCAGAATCAGCCAAACCAACCGGGATTCCCAAAACTGTTTGTTTTCAGAACTCATCCCAACCCAGGCCGTTTGTCGCTATACTGGAAAAGGGACCAGGGCCGGCGCTGGGAGCTCGTCCCGCAACAGGTTCGGCTCCAGAGTTGGGAAGCACCGGGCCCGCCCCACTGTGGGGATACTCAGGGAGCGGGCAGAGTTCCCTCCCCGGCCCGCCCGTCCCCGCGGCCCAGCGCCCCGTGCAGCGGCAGGGCTGAGGGGCCGGGGCCGGCCGCGCCCGCGCCTCCCGGGCCGCACCACTGCCGCCCCCGGAGAGAGGGAGGGAGGGTAAGGGAGGGAAGGCGGAGGTGGAGCCGGTGCCGGGCGGTCCCGGGGCCGCCGATCCCGGACTCACCTCGGCCCGCTCCGGCCGCGGCGCGGCACCGCCTCCTGACGTCATCAGCGCGCGCCGGGGACGCCCGAAGGGCGGGGACACCGCGCGCGGCGATTGGCGGAGGGGGCGAGGGGCGGACCCGAGGCGCGGGGAGGGCGGGGGCGCTTTACCGCCCCCTACCGGGGCCGGCGGGATCGGCCCCCGGAACCCGCCCAGAGCCCGGAGCCGGCCCGGGACCGCCCGCGGCTCCGGGAGCGTGAGGGGCTGCGGGGCCGCACAGCATCCCCTGGGGCCCCTGAGCCCCGCCTGGGACCCCTCAGGCCTCTGGGACCCCTCAGCCCCGCCTGAGACCCCTCAGGCCTCTGGGACCCCTCAGCCCCGCCTGAGACCCCTCAGGCCTCTGGGACCCCTCAGCCCCGCCTGAGACCATTCAGCCCCACGGGCCCCTGGAACTCCTCACCCTCATGGACCCCTCACCGCTCTGGCCCTGCTGTTACCCACAAGATCGAGTTCGTTCGTTGGTGTGCACTGAACCGATACCGACACACTCCAGAGAAACACGGATTGTTTATTTCAGAGCTGCCCCAGCCTGGGTGCTCGGTGCTATTCCACAAATCCAGCACACCCCACCTTTCCCTGCCATTACTTACACAGAGAAGTTCAGGGTTGGTAATTTCCCGAGCACAGCCCCCTATTAAAATTGGTTAGTAATTTCCATAGAAATCACGAAACTCCAGCTCAGGGGAAGGGTCTTCACCTGGGCAGGGTCTTTTTGACCAGCCGGCATGATTTTTAGTGTTACAATGAAGATAGCTCTAGGGTACAGGGACATGGAGTATTTTGCCAAGTTAGCAATGTTTATATAAGTAAACACTAACATTTTAGTTAATTACATCCCCAAATCGCGTTGGTTCCAGGATATCCTTGAATGAGGGAGCTGGCTGCTGACTGTTCCACTGATTAGGTATCCTTTTTTGCTGATTAGGCTTGAAAGTATACAAACATCTTACATCAAAGAACAGCCTGACTTAAGCTAATGTTGACATTCTTGGCATTTTGCAACACTTAAGCTAATGCTGATAGATGTTGGCGTTTTCCAACACTGCGTCCCTCAGCCCCGTGGGCTGAGCCGGTGGTCGCTGGCAGGGGCGATGTTCCTGCTCCCCATGCTCCTGCCGTGGAAGAGCTGCCACAGTGCCTCTTCTTTGGAGCCAAATCCAGCTCTGACAGCTCCCCAGCAGCGCCTTGGAGCCCGCAGCCCATGGAGCAGCTCCGAGGGCTCCCCGCTGGGCTGCGGGACTCTGGAAAAACATTCCCTTTGCAAGAGAATTGCCCGGAAGCCTTGGTCCTCTTCCTTGGCAGGGAAAACCCAGTCCCTGTGGGATAGCTCTTGTGCACAGCAGAATAACGAGGCACATTCCTTTCTCCTTTCTTTGCCCCAGCTACGAAGTGCCACAAAACCCGCAAAGTTTGCTTGGTAACTGCCTGTGGACTCTCTTCCTCATAGCCTTTCCTCATCCTCAAACAAAACACTCCACGTCCCAGCCCTGGATGACCCGAAAGGAGAGAGAGAGGGGTGACTGACACCTTGCAGGGATGCTGACGGCTCTCCTTTCCCTTGGGGATATACAAACGCGACGCTGTTGGGTTTGTTTTCCAGCTTGGCTGTCACGTCATTCCCTAGGCGGTTCAGGTGGAGCGGGGCTATTTTCACACTCCTACCATGCTTTTAAAAATAGCCAGGTTTATTTTAATGCTCCTGGGATCTTCGGCTGTTTTAAAATTATTAGTAAGTCATAATGTAGTAAAAGTTGTACCTGCTGATGCACATTATATTGTCATCAGCTTCTTCTCCGTGTAATTCCCAACAAAACGTGGAAATGTGTGAAGGTTGGGAAGGGGCTGCCTGGGCTAGAATTGACAGATCTGGTGAGTTGTGCAGTTCTCTGCAAGGGAAACTCCCCAGTTCTTGCTGTCCCACACAGTAATGGTGCTGCTGGCAGGTTTTCAGCCCTCTAATCCACCCGCTTTTTTTCTGGAGAGGCTTCCACAGCCACACATCCCCCACACTGTCCCTGAGAGGTGGCTTAACCTGTGTCTGACATGTGAAACCTTGCACGTGTCCCTTTTTAGGTTGGTCTGTTATTTTAGGCTGTTTCTCAAGGTCATCCCATCTTGGTTCCACCAGCGCATTCCTCTCTGCCACCGTGGCTGATGGGTGCAGGGCAGTGGGCTGCCTCCCCTTGGTCACAGATGCTCACACAGGGATGAGTGCTCTGCAAGGACGTGTTTCCCTCAGGGGATGCATCTTCCATTAGTCACTTCCTCACAGCTTTGTTTCCTGACCAGCCTCATGGGAACACTGAATGAGGCAGTTCCAGGTCCATCACCGCTGAAAAATGTCCAAGAGCCAACAGGCATTGAACCCTTGGGCCAGAACCGCGGACTTCTGAGAACCTCAATCAGAGCAGCTCTTGTATTATTTATGCTGTGGTGGTGCTCTGAGACCCACTGGAGCCAAGAGAACTTCACACCAGACATCTGCACAAAGCCAACATCCGCCTGGCAAAACACCCAGAGATGAGGTAGGGAACTGTCTGCTCATCCGTGTGATCCACTGCCTGCCAGGTCAGGCACCCGGTTTGACTTTGGGGTCATTGCCTGTTGATTCCTGATGTCTGTTATTCCATCTAGAGCCTTTTCTGCAGTTACAGCAGGAAGTTTTCTGACCGGGATAAGTACCTTGCTGCTGGGGCCACTGGCCGTGAAGCTCTGAGCACTGAGAGGTTCTGCAGCTGCTCATCCTGCCAGGCTCTGGGTGCCTGGGCTCCCACCAGCACTGCTCCAGCCAAAAAACATTGGTTTTTTTCTCCCTCCTCCAAGAGGGGACAGGTTTCTGACACACTCACAAAGCAGTGTTGTGCTTGAGGAGGGTCTAACAAAAGGGTAAAATGGGCTGTTGTCTCCTTGCCATTTCTTTTTTTGCCTCCTCCCTTCCAAGATGCTGGTCTCCCTGGAGAGGGGCCTCCCCCTGCTCTTCCATGCTGACCCCTTCAGAAATCCCCTGCCAGCTCTGATGCCCAAGACCTACAGCCTGCCTCCAGCCCCATGGGAAGGATTCAGCCCTTGAGGCAGGAAGGTCTGTGAAGAATCACAGAATCCTGGAATGGTTTGTGTTGGAAGGGACCTTTAAAGTCATCCAGTTCCAAACCCCTACCATGGGCTGGGATGACTTCCACCAGGCCAGGTTGCTCAGACCCCATCCATGAACACTTCCAGGGATGGGGCGGCCACCACTCCCCTGGTCCTGCAGCCTGGCTGCTCCCTCCTGAGAGCCCTCACCTGTCTGCAGGGATGGGTTCCCTTAGAGTTTTGTATCTCCTGTTAGTGGCTTCTTCAAGGCTTCTCCTTTGGAAGCTGCTAAAGGCAGGCTGGGACCAGCGGGGCAGTGCTGGGTGCCCACAGGTGCAGGATCCTCTCTCCCTGGAGATGCAGAGATGCTCCAGAGCTGGCTCCAGCATAAACCCTGCTTGGAGTGGGAACTTCAGAGCTCCCTCTGCATCCCACACCTGCCTGTGGTGCTGCCAGCTGACTCCAGAGTCTCCCTGGGATGCAATGAGCTATAATTCTCTATGGAAAGATGTGAATGGCTGGAAGCACCTCCAGCATCACCCAGCACCACAAAGCTGCCTGGGACATTGCTGCACATCCTGAGCATGGGGCAATTTGGGGATCCCAGGGTTTTCTGCTTTGCCAGGAGAACAGGGCCCCTCATCTGCCATCAAATGGATGGGGTAAAGTGGGAAATCTGGATTTCCTCCGAGCTGTATCCCTGCCCTGTGTGGCAGTAGGCCCAAGCCTCAGCAGCTATGCTGAGCCAGAGCTCAAGGTTGTCCCAGCAAGGCTGAGCAGAGGTCGTAACAGGAGGATGTTCAATTAAAGCTGCTTAAAAAAGAAATCCAACTTTCCATATGCCTCTCTGGAGAATAAAACAGCCCCAAAGCTGAGGGCAGATGGGGTGCCAGGCGGGGGGCTGAACACAGCCCCCACAGCAGAGGTGACTCTGGCTCAGCTGTTCCCACTACCTCCAATCTGTAGGGATTGAGGTTGTCTTTTGGTGTTTCCTTTTGGAAAATTGGACATTTGGCTCTGCAGAAATCCCCATGCAAACTCGGACAGTGGCCAGCATTGTGACATAGTGTCCTCCAGGCTATGCTTGTTTTCCAGTGCTCCCGCTCCCCCTGGGGTGCCAGCAAAGCTGGATGTGGTGAAACTGGTGCCTGGTTGGGGATGCCAGGCTGGGACAGTGGCACTGGGACCATGCAAGGGCCAGGAACCATTACCCCTCTACTGGTAGCCTCCACACCTGTCTATCCAGTGAGAGAAACCCAAGCGTGTCCCCACAGATGAGGAGTCATTCCCCAGCTGGCAGCTCCATCAGGAGGAATTTCCCTGGGGGAAGGAATGGAGAATTCAGCCATCGTGTGGCAGAGGTGTTGGGTGGCACAGTGGGAGGTTGGCCCTCATGTCACTGTGCCACGTGTGCTGTCTCACTCACACAGCCACCTAGAATAGTGTCACCATCTGGTTCCAACTTCCCAGGGATATGAGGGCCTTCCTGGCCCCTTCTACGATTACCAAAAGTGATTTCAAACGTCAATTCAGCTGGACTCAGCTGGCCTTTATCCTTTTTTTTTTCTTTTTTTTAATAATTCAGGTTTGTCTCTTAGAGAAGAGAGAGGGAGATAATGTCTGCAGAGCATTTAATCTTCTGCCCAAAGAATAGCAGAGAGCAAATTAGGATCTACTCCAATTAATTTGCCTTGATGGGCAAAATCTGGAGAGCAGCCATATCTGGGAATTAAGAACAAAAGCAGGGAGTGTAAAGTAGGTCACCGGAGTTTTGTAACCAGGATGAGGGGTTTTCACAGCATGACGGGTGCTCCAAAGGCTCCCGGTGCCGGGGCCCACCAGTCTCATTCCCCACCATCCGCTCCTTTCAGCCAGGACAGTTGCTTTAAGATGCTGTCAGTGTGCAGGGAGCCAGCTGTTTGTTCTGGGGAAAGGAACAAGGATGTTGTCCCTTTCCACAGCAGGACACAGCTGCAGGACTGTCCCAAACCCTTAGACCCAATGGAAAGACAGACACTGGCTCAATGTCCGAGTTTTGGAGCACCAGAGAGCTTTCCTAGGGTCGGCATGCCCACCCTTGCTGTCACACTGCTGCCCTCGGCACCTCCCTGAAGGAGGATTGGTGTGACAGGTGACACTGGGGTTTGGGCAGTGCTTTGCTGGGGACTCTTGCACATGCGGTGTCACCAGGCAGTGGTGACCCACAGGTGCACTCTTTTCCAGCACCCCCAAATCCCAGCTCTGGCTTCCCAGAGCCATCAGTTCCTGCAGGCTGTGTGGTGACACGGTGACACCTTTCAGCTGCAAGACACACGTGGAAGCACAGCCAAAGGTGTGAGCCAGGTGTGGTGACAAGTGCTGGTGCTCAGGACGCGTGGTGACACAGCCAAGGGTCCGTGACATGTACGGTGACATTTTCCAGGACATGGGACCTTCTGTGGTGCGTGTTTCTGCACACAGGGTGAGGCACCCGAAGTGTTTGGTGGGTATGAGTGGATCTTCCCAGGCTTTGATTGCGGCTGGATCGGAGTGGCACAGTTTGTTGTCTGCAAGTGTCACCATCGTGGTGGCAGCCTGTCACAGCACCAGGCTGGTGACGCTCCGTGTCCCCGGCCACCTCCCACTGCCCCGCTGCGATCCCACCGCTCCCACCCCCGCGGAGGTGCCGGCGGGCGCTGCGCGGTGCGTGGCCGGCGCCCGGCCGGCGTTTATCCTCTTAGCCACCCTGCCGGGATCCGGCACTAATTCACCCTTAAACACAGGATTGTCAGGAACTGGGAAGGAAAGAATCGGAGGATTATCCTCCGGGGCTGGCGTTACACACGGAGAGCGGCAGCTGCTGGATGAGGAGAGCTGGGGTGGTGTCCTGCCCCGTGTCCCATGGGGCACCGGCCCCGGGATCAGCATCTTCCCCCACCAAGGGCTGCCGGGAGACCAGATGTTTTGTGTCCCCCTCAGCCAGCTCCAGGCTGGTTAGTGAGATGAGTAACGGGAAATAAATACAGTGTCCCCCACAGAGCTGAGGAATCAGCAGCAACAGCTGAGCCCCATGCGATGAACCAGCAATCCTTTTAGCGTTTCCCAGACTGAGAGCCTGGCAGAGGACTGGGACAGCCAGGGTGACATCCCAGAGGTTACCAATCACATGTTTAAGTTACCAGACTTTGCAGGAAGAGGTTTTATGATGAAACAAACAATATTTTTCCCTGGCTCAATGAGGACAGTGACTACTGAGCTCCTTGCTCACACACTGAAGGTTTTCTGCCACAGGAGAGTGTGCAAAGGCTTCCCTGGGCCAAAACCATGTGCCCAGCTGCTGGAATGTTTTTGGGACACCCTTAAAGTCAGGAAATCACAGAAACAGCAGCAACTTGCTACCCACTGCACATGGGAGCTCATGGCTTCTGCTCTCTGCTGAGCCTGGAACAATCCTCAGAGCGGTGGCATTTGTGTTGCTGGCCAGAGGATTTTGTTGCCTTTTCCAAGTGGGATGGTTTCCCACATGCCACCAGATTTACCCACCACTGTTGCTGGGGCCTGGGGGCCACACCAGCAATGAGCCACACCACAGCTGGGGTGGCCCATATGCAATTCCAGTGGCCCTTTAGGCAGTGGGTGGGGAGTGGTGGCTGTGCCCAGGAGAGTGGGGAGGATGCCTCGCCAGCCCAGGCCTTGGGGAGCTGGTTTGCACACTGGGCTATAGTAGCTGGGAAAAATATCGTAAGTTTTCAGCATAACAGCCACAGGGATGGGAATTAGAGCATTTTCCACTGATGAGATACAAGTTTAGCCAAGTGCAACACCCACAAACCATCTTGGTTTAACTTCAACAGGTTCCATGTAAACCTGGATGAGATTTCCAGTTCCCTAGCTTTTTTACCTCCATCATCTCAGTTAAAAAAAAATCCCAAAAACTCTCTCTTCCCTGCAAACCATAGTTTTCTTCATAACCATGAATACAGCAAGGCCAGAATAAAAGGGGTGGGAAACAGAAAATGTCACTGGAGGTGCCCATCAGAAGACAAGCTACTGGCTGCCAAAAAGACAAAGAAATCTGCACCCTGTGTTTTCCTAAGGTGCCCTTTAAAACGAATAAAACATTTGACCCACCTCTAAAGGGAGTATCTGCTATGCCAGCCCTGAAAAGCAGGGGTTGGGGAGCACCAGGGTAGTGGGAATCGCCCCCTCCTGGGGCTGTCCATGGTCCCATGGACTGCCTGGCATGGCCATGGGCAATACACTGTGGGAACGGAGTCACAGACCTTCCCACTGACCCTTCTTGGGCACTGGTGCAGGGAGCATCTCCTCTCCACTCCCCAGAGCAAACACGGGGCTTGGCAGGGGCTCAAGGGGCATCCCATGGCAGAGAGACGTGAGAAATGTAAAAGTGTCTTTTAATATAAATATAAATCCATCTGAAGTGCTGCGGGAGAGGACCGTGCCCCGCGAGGGATGCCCGGAGGGAGGTGGGCATGGCGGGGACGGGCCAGCCGCCGGGGAAACCGACCCGGCATCACCTGGGCACCCCGCGGGCCAGCAGGGCTACAGCCGGGCCAGCAGCAGCGGCAGGGCCAGCAGGGCCAGCAGACGGGGGTGCAGGGAGGGGGCCGAGCTCCGCAGAGTGGCCTGGTTGGTCTCAGCGGCCGGCGAGCCCTGGGGACTGGCCAGGCGGCCCCGGGCGCTGCACAGCTCCTGCAGGTTCCCCTGGAACTGGATCTTGCGGGACTCCTGGCGCAGCGACTCCCAGATGGTGGCCGCTTCCACGGGGCATCTCGACAGCACCTCGCTGGCGCAGGTGTGGAAGTCATCCCAGGACCTGGGGAGGAGGGCGGGAGTCGGGAGCGGCGCTGGTGGCAGGTGACCCCGCCATCCCAGCGGCTCCCACGGGGACACTCACTTGCAGATAGTGTCCAGCTCCTGCGCCTCCTCGCCGCCCTCCTCCTGCTGCTGCTGCCGGACGCTCTGGGCCATGCTCTCCCCCAGGCTGATGAGGCAGCTGGCGAAGCCCCTGTAGATGGTGTCGCACTGCCCCGCCATGCTGACGGGCTCCTGGCTCGCGGCTGCGGGGCACAGAGGGGAGAGACCGAGCTGAGCCCCCGCCGACCCCCGGCAGCCCCCGCCTGCCCGGCTCAGGGGAGCGCGGCGTAAGGGTGTCACCGGGTGCGGGTGACACTGGGCTCTGAAACGTGGCGAGGGGCTTCAACATCCCCCCGGACCCTCCCTGGGCGCTGGTAGTGACCCTTCCCTCGTGGCCAGGAAGCCCGGCGCGATGTGACGACCCCGCAGCGATGCTGCCATTCACCGCAGGGCTCCTGCCGGCCGCGTCCCCTCGGGCCTCCCGGGCTCTCCCCAGAGCCATCTGTCCCGGCCTTTATCCCCTGACAGCAAAGATTAATTTGTGACTACAACAGAAAAAAACAAAGCAAAGGCTCAGCAAGCTCAAGTCCCCGCTCTGGCTGCAGTGGGAAAGAGGGGGAAAGGAGAAAGGAAAGGGGAAGGGGGAAAGAGAAGGGGAAAGTGGGGAAGAGAAAGAGAAAGAGAAAGGGGAAGGGAAGGAGGAAAGAGGAAAGGGGAAAGGGGAAAGGGAAAGGAAAAAGGAAAGTGGAAAGGAGGGGAAGAGGAAAGGTGAGAAGAAGAAGATGGAAGAGAAAGAGGCAAGGGGAAAGGTGAACAAGAAAGGGGAAAGGATCAAGAGAAAAGGGGAAGGGAAAGCAGGAAGGTGAAGTGGGGGAGGGAAAGGGGAAGAAAAAGTACAAAAGGAAAAGGCACAAGTGCAAGTCTGGCTGCTTCATTCTGAGAAGCCCTGATTCCCTTCTCCACTTCTCAAACGATTCACCACTGGCACTGGCCAAGCCCTGGTGCCATACATGGGACAATGGGTGACAGGGTGTGTTCATGAGGGCTGCGAGTGCATCCATGAGCCGTGTGAAGCCCAAAAGGAGCTGGTGTGTGACTGGGTCACAGAGCAAACCTGCATGGTCCTCAGCTCTACCCCAGAGGTCCTGCAGGTCAGAAGATGTGGGGTCCCTGTGCCAGTTCACAGGAGTTACAAAAGTTCTGGAAGTGACATGGGTGTGCACCAGGGAGGTTTCTAATTGAGGAGAGCCTTGTGGCAGACCCCTGTGGAAAGGTGACCTCAGAAACAGCTGAAAGTTTCCTGATGACTGCTGAGGCAGCCGGGATGTCTCCAGGGAGCCGTGCACCTTGCTCCTGGCATCCCATGCCTGCACCCCTGGAACAGGGTCCTGAGCAAAGTGGCTGCAGTAGAGACGAACACCAGCGCTAGCCTGACATGATCACAGGGCACTTTAGGTGTTTGTGATGAGAACCCCCTGAGCACAGCACCGAGGAAAGTATCGGACTAATGCAAGACACGTGGGTCATAAACATCGCAGGTATCAATAAAGTGGGATCCATTACTCCTCTTTTGACCCAGGGAAGAAGCTTGCCTCCCACCAGCCCAAGGACTCAGCAGCTGGCAAGGCCAGATGATACATCCCCTCAGCCGGCTGGTCCCTGATGCAGGCTGAAGTTTCACCTCCTGGACTCTTCTAATGTCCGGCACAAGCCCTCCCCTACGCTCAGCTCCCTCACCACGAGGCTGGGCAGGGCGAGCAAAGGAGAAAGCAGGAGGGCAAATCACCTCCGCTGCTCTGCTGAAAAACCATGGGGAAAAACCTGCTCCCGGCTCCGTCGGGAGAAAGCCCAAGGCAAAAAGCACGGAGGAAGTTTCCCAGGGCGCTGCAGAGCATCCCTAGCTCCCCAGCGGGTGCCGACGCAGCCATCCTACTCCTGGGGAAGGGTCGGGTTCACCCACTCTCTGAGCCTAAAATCAACCAGAGGTCTGGTGGTCCCTGTCCTTCATCGTCCGTGCAGCCGGACCAGGTTAATCCCAGGCTCCCCATCCCTATTCAGAGCAGAGACGTCGCTGGGTACCGCTGTGCTCCGCATCCTCCCTCGGCTCTCGGAGGAGCGGGAGTGTGCAGGGGACACGCTGGTGCCAGTGAGGTGCCGGACCTGTCAGGTAACAGTCCCCCAGCGATCGGGATGCTCTCCGGCCCCGCTGAACGAGGGCAGCAGGGAAAGCCAGCAGCTGCGTGGGGTGGGCACACAGGGCTGGAGAGCCAGAGCTCGGGAGCTGTCCCCGCCTGAGCAGAGAACCCGAACACCGCCGTGAAGCCGCGTTCCTCCTTGCCCGGCATCTCAGGACACGGGACAAGGGTGGACGGATCGCTGAGCCGTGGGGCACCCGGGCACCGCGCTCCCCGCAGCTACAGAGGGGACGGGACGCGCCCGGGGGTCCCGCTCCCACCCGCCAGCCCCCCAACCCCGGCGGGGAGAGCCCGGGGCACTCACCGAGGTGCAGGAGCAGCGGGCACACGACGCCCAGCAGCCGCCAGCAGCCGCCGCCCATGGTGCGGACCCCGCGCCGCCGCCGCCGCCGTGTGCTCCGCGCCCGCCGCCGCCGGCAGCCCCGGCCCCGCCGCCCGCCCCCGGCCCGCCCGGCACCGCCCCGGGACCGGCCCCCGGCCCGCCCTGCCGGCCCCGCCGAGGGGCTGCACCCCGGCCCTTGCAGTTCACGGAATCACGCAATTGTTTGGGTTGGACGGGACCGTAAAAACCATCTCGTTCCAAACCGGCAGGGGCACCGTCCAGCCCTGTGCCAACTGGTCTTGTGAACACTCCCAGGGATGGGGCATTCGCAGCTTCTCCGGGCAACCTGTGACCCACTGTACTCACAGGGAATACATTTTTCCCAATATTCAATCTAATCCTGCCCGCTGTCAGTATGAAGCCATTCACTTTTGTCCTGTCACTCTATGCCCTTGTCCAAAGTTCCTCTCCAGCTCCACTGGAGCTCCTTTATGTATTGGGAAGGTGCTGCAAGGTCTTCCCAGAGCCTTCTCTTCTCCAGGAAGGAACAGCCAGAGACCTTTTTTTGCTGTGAAAAGAGGAATCAATGTCCTCTCCTCACAGCCAGCAGGCCACTATCACCTCCTGCCTCTCCCAGGAAGCAAGACCAATATGTCCTGCTGGACTCACACAGGAAAGCTTGAGCAGAGACTCAGAAAAAATCTGGGAACAGAGAGGGCATCCTGGCCTCTCACCTCAGGCTCCAGCCTGGAGATGGTTTGATATCCTCAAAGACGCCTCAGTCTTCCCTCCATCACACAACAGAAGTCTCCACTTTTTTTTTTTCTCAAAAAGTTTTTTATTGAATTGTTCTTAATGTTATTTCCAAAAAAACAAAAAAAAACGAACAACAAAACCCCCCAAAACTTCAAAATTTAGATAAGAAGAAAAAACCTCGGTGGAAAATCAAAACTAATGTCTGAAACATGGACATGCTCTGATGCACAACAGAACTGGTGGCCCCCCCGGGGCTCTTGCAGTTTGCTGCTGCCTCAGCACCCTGACCCAGAGCCCCTCTCTGGGGCACTCCAGAGGTATCACCCCCTGCCCAAACCTGCCTCTCTGGGTCAGGTGGGCCGGGCATTCCACTGTGGATCTGGAATTAATGAACCTCAGAGTAACTAACTAATTAATGAATTTTAACTAATCCCTCTTGCTCAGCTGACCTCCTCCCTGTGCCTTCAGCCTGCCAGGGAGGGGGAGTTTGAGCCCTTCACTAAGGTGTGGGTACAGGTTTCTGGGCAGCAAGGAGCGCTGGCAGCCCCTGTGCTCGGGCTCAGCGCACACCTCGCTGCTCCCTTGCTGACCGCAGCAGATCCAAACTTCTAAAGGGGTAAGAAATCCATCGGCTTCTGCTGCATGAGACATGGACTGCCAGCCAGCCTTGGGGACGGATGGGCAGGTGAAGAAGAGATTTAACTCTCAAAAAAGAGGCTATTTAGGAAAAATAAGCCAAGTGAATGTTCAGTGACTATTTGGAACTATACACAGATGGCGTTCGCCTTGGAGACATCACACACGTGTTGATAGATTTTCTGGCAAGAGCTCTTAACACCAGCCAGACGCCGTTAGTAACTACGGATCTGCTGAGTGGGCTTCGGTGGAGCAGCCCACCAGGCAGCCAGGTCCTCCTAGGTCATGCCAGGGGTGACCAGGCCCTGGAGCATGATCATGAGGCGACGCGCAGGTTTGCTCAGAGGGTTGTGGGGTTCCACCTGGAGGAACTGGAAGAGCTTTTGCCGCACCTGGTTCATGACTGACCCCATGTGGTCTCGGGTGATGGGGTCGCTTTGGTCCAGGTGCATCACTGCATCCTCCAAGTAGCTGAAGGAGAGAGCAAGGTTAGGACCAAACCCAGAATGCAATTCAGTTCATGTTAGCACTGAAGATGCACAGTTTTGTTCCCCACTCCACCCAAACTCCGCAGTATTTTCAGTTGTCATGAAATAAATGTTCCTGACTCACAGCAGAGTCCACCTATCCCTTCCTAAACATGTGAGGTCAGCCTACAGCTCCCACCCAGCCTGCCCACCTGCTCCACAACCTGGCTGCTGGAACTAAGGCAGAGGCAACAGCCAGCGAGAACTCCCCATGGTGCTGGAGGACACTCTCAGCAAATATTTTCTTTAATACCTTTAAGCAGAATTAGTCACTCATTAGACAGTACAACCCCTCAGCAGTGAAGCTCAGTTTGTGTAGGGTTACAATAAAATCCATCCAGCAAGGGGTGGGAGAAGATCAAGACTTTTACCAACAAAACACTCAAGTTCAGATGAGCCATCAGCTTTTAAACACAGCCTGAGTAAGGCAATGTGGTCACTGCAGGTTTTCAATAACAATCCAGTTTAAACTTTACAGCAGCAGCTTTAACCCCAGTTACCAGCCTGTAACTTGACTGTAACTTGAAGCTCTTTTCAGTTTTTCTAGCTTGCTTTATCCTTATTGACTTAAAAACTCGATTTAAGTAATTTTTCCATACAAGCCATAGTCAAAACCTGTAGGTACCTTAACAATTTAGCTTTTAAGGGCAGATAGCAGGGTTTTGACTCAGACACTAAAAATGTTCATGGCAAGTATCAGTACAGTCACTATTTTGTCACACAAGCTTGGAACATCCACCAGAAATTGTACCAGTAGCTCCTGCTGCAGCCTCCCACTGAGCCTTGCTGACAGTCACGACAAGAAGCTGCCGACACAAAGTCCAGTGATGGGTTAAGAGTTGAGGACAGAGCAAACTTGCCCTGGTTATTAGACTGTCCAGGGAACATGGTACTATCCCTCCTTTTGCCTCCACAAGGAAATAAATCCTTGAGGAATGCGGATCACTGCACAGGCTGCAAATATTTACAGGCTACAATTCCAGAGGTACCAGCACCTACTGCTGGCTATTCCTTCCACTACTACCTCAGGGCAGAAAAGCTTTCTGTGGCAATGCTGACATTTTTCTGAGCTACCACTGTCTGTAAACATGCCAGTAACAGGCTACAGAAACTCCAACTTGTGTCGAAGTTCCACCTCCCACTTCCAGGCAGTGAATTTAAAGCCAGGGCTAAGAACAAGACCCAGTTCTCTGTTCATACTCACTTCAACTTCAGTTCTGTCCGTGTGCCCAGATCTGAGGAGAGCTGCTGAATGAGGGAGAGCAGCACAGGCTGGGACAGAGGGCATGGATGCTGTCCAAATACTTGCTGAGTATCCACAGTCTCACAGACATATAGAACCAGGTTGAGATCAGCTGCTGTTAGAGCCTAAAAGGAAGACACAGCTAGAAATGCACAGGAACCAACAGGCAGGTGAGGAACACAGGACAGAATGACAGCTCTGGGATGCTCAGTGGCTTGACAGTTTGCTCCTCTTGGAGCAAAAATCTCTGCACCTCTGCTGTACAGGTCACCAGGGCCATCTTTAGGTCCTTGCTCTATGCTCTGAGGACACATGTATCTGTTCCAAGCTGAAGAGAACACAACCAGACAGAGGGGAGCAGGTTACTGTCAGCAGCATGGAGCAGGGCCAGCAGTGCTATGATCGCCAGAGGAGTTTGTCTGCAGCAGCTCAAACGGATCTGCCTGCATGCTCAAAAGTCAAAGGCAAGGTCAGGCCCCAGCTGGTAGATCTGCCTGGAGAGGCTTATGAAGCTGTTGCTCTTCAGAGGTGCTCCATGTGTCAGTGCTGATGGCAGAACATGCTGGTTTACTGGAGCACTGACACTGTCCTGACAGGACGTGGGCAAGGGATGACTACTGCTACCAAATCATGGAACCTGCATGGCTCTGGCTCCACCTGCATGAGAGCAACTGCACCCCTCAAGCACTCCACTGCCACAAGGTCTTTTCAGTCAACTCCTGTGTAAGCTGTTGTGAGATTATGCGCCCGCCCTCAAGAAGTCCTTTTTTCCTTCTCAGTCCCCAGCAAGCAGTGGATGACTACCAGGAAAGCTAGGTACCTGCTGGAAAGCTTGGTTGAGGTGTCCCTGCTGGAGGAGCTGAAGGATGTGAGTCTGCTGGGACTGGAAATCCATGTGAGTAGAGGGGATGGGTGTCCCGGCTGCCGAGCGCATTGCCTGGACAATGCTCGAGGTGACAGCTGCTTGCTGCTCCTTCATAGCCAGGCTCACTTCTCCTTTAATGACTCTCTGCACCTGGGCCAAAATAGACTCCTGCATGCTGAAAAAAACAAAACAGAACCCATGGGCACCTGAGAATGAAGAGCCAAGGGATAACACTGCACAAAGCTTATACCAGTGAGAAAGCACAGGCTAGTTTGCTTATTGTAGTGTGGCTCCCTAAGGGCTCATGCAAACAGATCTGAGGCACAGGCAACTCTGTGGCCAACACCACAATGTCCCAGTCCCAGGGTGCACCTGGAAGATGCTGGGATTCTGTGCAGGAAAGTGACATTTCAGGGAACTAAGTCTCTCATTAAACAGTGTTTTGAATTTTCAATGTCTCTGGCTCACAAGAAAGGCAAATAAGCTGTGGGGTTATCCCCAAATGGGGCCAGCCTCCTACAGGAGATCTGTCAGATGCACTTCCTAGTGTGCAGATGACACCTTTAGAATGAGAACACACTTACACTGTGCCTGTGACTTCTCCACAGAAGAGGATTTCACAGTGCAGACTCTGCTGCTCTGTGTGACACCTTTTCCCTCAAGGACTGGATTCTCCCCTCTCACAAAGGGTACAAAGCATCAAACCTGCTCTTCCACAGGTAGAAAAGCAGGACTTCCCTGGGAACAAGCACAGACCATGCAACAAGACCAGGATTTAGTCTTGTGTCCTTTCTGGCAACTTTGGCCTGCACTGAAGACCCCAGTGTGTTCTGACATATGTTCTGGTGGCTCAAAATAGACAGGTTTGTTCTGCCCCACAGGTGACCACCAGCCAATCCCATTGCCTGGCAATCTGCTGCTGCCTCACAGCATGAATGTGCTGGAGGCACTGCTGGGATCCCATCCTGAAACCAGGAGGACAAAGCACAAACTGCTGCAGAGCAGCTCTGGGGAGAGAGAGTAGTGT